CATCCGCTGTGGGGAGTGTGCAAGAGGCAGCTGGTCGATGTTTCTCTCTCATCGACGTTTCTAACTCTCTATCCCTCTCTCCTCCTCTCTGTAAAAAATCAATAAAATATATTTAAAAAAATATTTTTTTCTGTCTTTCCCTCTCTCTAAAAATCAATGGAAAAATATCTTAGAGGATTTAAAAGAAAGAGAGAGGAGAGGGAAAAAAAGGAGAGAAAAGAGAAGAGAAAAAAGAAAAGAAAGAAAATGTCCCTGTTTGGTTCATTTTCACCATTGCTACTGGAGCAAAACAGTGTTATGCATTTTTCTCTTTTACATAGCAGTAAATCTGGAGGCTGGTTTTAAATTATGTTTTTAGTGTCTAAGGAAACTTTTTCCTCTCAGTAGACTCTGTCATCAGAAGAAACTTGAACCAGTCTTATGGGTGTTTCTACATGTTTACTGTGTTTAAGAGGACAGAGATCTATCTACATCAGGGGAGCTTATAGCAAAGGCTTATTTCTATTCTAGGTGGGACCAAGGGCCATTGTGGGACTCTCTCTAATTTTTGAGTGCTTCCTGCTGTTGCAAGCACAGCTCTTCCTTAAAGCCACCCTTAACAACTGCTACGGGAGCAGTTTCAAGCAGCCACCCTTAACACGTCATCATTGGTCTTATCTTATTCTTTAGCTATTTCATATGTTAGTTATGTTTTCTCCAACAAAATTATCTCATATTTCTCTTGTTCTTCATTTGTTAGATCCATAAAAACTTGTTGGTTGATTGAATGTAATGATCAAAGAACAACAACAAAAACATAGCAAGAAAGTTATTGGGCAGCCGAAACCGGTTTGGCTCAGTGGATAGAGCGTCGGCCTATGGACTGAAGTGTCCCAAGGCATGGACCTTGGTTGCAGGCACATCCCCAGTAGGGGGTGTTCAGGAGGCCGCTGATTGATGTTTCTCTCTCATCGATGTTTCTAGCTCTCTATCCCTCTCCTTTCCTCTCTGTAAAAAAATAATTATATATATATATATATATATATATATATATATATATATATATATATATATTTTTTTTTTTTTTTTTTTTTTTAAGAAAGTTATTGGGCAGACTTGGAAGCAGAGTATTATGTAGATAATCAGTCCACGTTACAAGTATGTAAGGCAGAGCTCTGCCATGGAATCTGTCTTTTTTTTTTTTTTTTTTTACTAGCTCCACTCATGCACCTCTTTTGAGTCTTCTCAAGTGAATTGAAATCTGTGTCATTATCATTGTCCCTCCAATGAGCTAGCATGCTAGGAATGGGGGATGGTACAGGACACACCAGCCCAGCCTGGCACTGCTGGCTTTTGCTGGTCAGTACCACCATGTGGTCTGTGGCACATGTGGGCGTATAGTCATCTAAACCTGTTATGGAAGCCTGAGGCCAGTTGAAAATTTGGTTGAGGGGGACCTATCATGACGATGCCTCTGCAGGTGGCAGAAATGAAGACTTGGCGGTGGCAGGGTTGTATATATGAAATTTACAAGAGAGAAAAGCAACTTCCAAGCCCCTGGAAAGGGGAAAGCCTCTTAGTACTTTGAAGACAAAGGAGAGTTCTGTTTGCAGAAGTGTATGGATATCATTATTCCAAGATGCAATGTCAATGGAAAGTACTAGGGAGTTTTCAAAAACAGTTAGCTTATTTGAATGACAGATCCAGTCTTTCATTAAGATAAATTAGTAGTGATATAAGAGGATACTCTTGACTTTTGAGGTTGTTATTGGGAATAACTCCCAAATCGTCCATAGCTTATTCCTATCAGAGACAGACCTCCAGCTTACTGCAATGATGAGACTAACCTGGGGGATATTTTTGGATCATAACTGTTAAAGACAGGCACGATGGGTTGTAGTTCACAAGAGTCTTAGCTGCTGGCTCTCTAAGCTTCCCCTTACTCAGAGTAGAAAGCCTGTTGGTCCCACATCTGCCTTCCCAAACACACCCACTCACTAGTGACAACAGGCTGCCAGTAGCCTCATCTCTGGAGAACAATACAATGGGCCTGTTGTGTACTTGTTGACATACAGAATGGATTGTTTTAGCAGGTGCAGAAGATAGGCTGTGTGGAGATTACAGAGACCTTTATCCATGATGGTGTAGCGTAATTCAAATCTAAGTTGTTCTTTGTCTGATTGACAAGCAGGTGTTGGAAGGGGACTTAGTTCAGCTTGGATGAGTCCTTCTGTGCATAGAGGCCACATTAATTTGTGTGTGTGTGTGTGTGTGTGTGTGTGTGTGTGTGTGTGTGTGTGTGTATCTGTGTGCTTGTTCTACTCTCTCCGTATCTTTTTTCCTATAATAAAGCAATTTACACTCCCTTTGGTGTCCAATCAGATGGCTCTGATTTTCCTAAGGCTTTTGATTGGAGACTGTACACCAAAGCAGTGTGAGTCCTGGAGACACTGGAGACATTACTTCTTTGTTTTCAATAATGATCTCAGGAAGATGGCTGATTTCTGTTAGTGTGGTGATTTCACTTGGCTTGTTCATGAACCGGAGCCTTGTGTTTTTGTGGCCTTTGGGTCCTAAGGAGGAGAGGAGACTTTCATTTCTGAATTTACTTCTTGATTATCTGTGACAGTGAAGGGGGACAATGGAAAAGAGGGTATTCCGCAAGCTCCTTAATTACCCTGAACTCAGTTAACCATATCCTCCATTTCTCTAAACATTTTCCTCTACCCTTGGCATTTAGGAGAAGGAAGTCAATCATACAAAAGCAAACTATGACCAAGGATTTTCTTAAAAACAAATAAGCAGGCAAGCAAACAAAAAGCCACAAAAATAATTTTGCAAGTTCACTATATGTATTCACCTTCAGCCTATAATATATTGGTTTGCATATCCATGGAGTCATGTATGTGGCAAGAAAGCAGGGAGGATCTCCTGGGGATAGAAAACTGCATGAATGTACAACCCAGGGTTAAACCTTCAGAGTGGATAGCAGCTTGCTTGATCGCCATGCCAGTCAAGTAAGCCTTTTTCCTTAGCTTACTTTCTCCAGTCTCCACTGGCCCTTGCTTATTCAGTTATAGTCTGCCTCCAAGAGAGGATCTCTGTGTTGAAGGAGAAAATGTGCCAGGAGGAGGAGAATAAAAATAGGTCAGTGGTAACTCTCATCACACATTCCCATTTATTCGGTTGGAAATTTACTTTGACTTTACAAGTATTTGTTGATAGCTTCTTTATTCACATACTTGCAATAAGCTCTGGGAGATATAGAATCGTGATGATAATGTTAATAGCTGACATTTACTTAGCATTTACTGTTTGTCAAGTGCAGTTATAAGCACTTTATTTATATTCATGCATCTGATCTACCCAATGACCCCATGAAGGTTCATTATTATCTTCATTTCACAGATAAAGAGTTTGAAAGTAGCTGAAACCGGTTTGGCTCAGCAGATAGAGTGTCGGTCTGCGGACTGAAAGGTCCCAGGTTCAATTCCGGTCAAGGGCATGTACATTGGTTGCGGGCACATACCTGATAGGGGGTGTGCAGGAGGCAGCTGATCGATGTTTCTCTCTCATTGATATTTCTAGCTCTCTATCCCTCTCCTTTCCTCTCTGTAAAAAATCAAATATATGTATATATATGAGTTTGAAAGTAACTAAGACACAAAGTAACAAATCCAGTTAGGATTTGGTAGAGCTAGAATTCAAACCCAAATATTCCTGTTCCAAAAAGAGAAGATTCTTGTTCCTAGAAAGTCCAATTGTGGGAGATGAGGTCAACATAGTTAAAACAAAACAAAACAAAACAAAAACAGGAAACAATACAAGGCTCTGGCAGTGAGGATGATTTGGACAGATTAGTGCAGTTTAGGATAAGCTTTTTGGAGGAGACAAGACCTCTCTAAACCCCAGATTCTTCATTTATCAAATGGGTATAATGGACTATACCTCATAGATGTAGTGTGAGAATTGGTGAGATCATGCATATAAAGAGCTTAGTGCCATGCCTGGCATATTGGTGAGTGGTCAATAAATTATGGTTGTGATGATGACAATGATGGCATTGATATCTCTGGGACCTGACAGATGAGTAGGGCTGAGATATCCAGAGGGAAGAGGTATGACCTTCTAAGTGAATTATGAAGAAAGAGGGGAACACACATGAGGTTGGGAAGGGGGTGCTTAGAGAAACAATTTTCTTATTTTCTTATGATCACTAGTTACCTAATAGCTGAGCTAATTGAGGAGAGAAGAGTAATGGATGTTGCAAAGTCAGTCAGCAGCCCTGAAGCTTTAAAAACACACACACATTTTCATTGATTTCAGAGCGGAAGGGAGAGGGAGAAAGAGATGGAAATATCAATGATAAGAGAGAATCATTGATTGGCTGCCTCCTGCATACCCCACACCAGGATCGAGCCCACAACCTGGGCACGTGCCCTGACCAGGAATTGAGCCATGACCTCCTGGTTCATAGGTCAACACTCAACCACTGAGCCATGCTGAAGCTTTTTATTGGCCTTGAAACATGCTGAACATACTCTGTGTCTGACACTTGGACCTTTCTTCATGACTTTCCTTCCTCCTCCTGGAGCTCAGGACTAATGATTTATGGATGCAAAGGAAAAGCTCGAGACATTCCCAGAGTGAGAGCAACCTGTAATGCTTGCAGGTCCAGGCTCAGTGGCTTCCCTGATCTTAACAGTTGTGAGCCTTTCCTGAGGCAAAGAGGAAATGTGACTCCCAGCAGGCTGACAGGAGGGACTGGGCTGGGGAGTAGGAGAGGTCCCTTGAGACTGTCTTCTTATGTTATAGATAGCATCAATCAATTAAGTATTTGTTGAGCTCCCGTTATGTACAGAACCACTGTTAGGAGTTTTGGGTTATTCAAGTGAAGTAAAAAGCATGGTGTCTGCCCTCATGGTATTGCTTGTTTTGTTGTTTTGTTGACATACTAGTAATGATTCATGGTCCATATAGGATTAAGTATAACTAAATGTTCAATTGCGTGCTTTCTTCAGATGCCGTTACTTGGCTGTCCAGCTATCTCCTGCCATCCCTGTGTTTGCTGCCATGCTCTTCCTTTTTTCCATGGCTACCCTGTTGAGGACCAGCTTCAGTGACCCTGGAGTGATCCCTCGAGCTCTACCAGATGAAGCAGCTTTCATAGAAATGGAGATAGGTAGGTTTCCTAACCAGCTGGCAAGATGCTGTGCGTTAATTAGTAAGGGAATCCTATATACTAAAGAGGTAATATGCAAATTGACATCACACCCTCATACAAGATGTCCACTCTCAGGTAGTCAAAGATGGCTAACCCCATGTGGTCAAAGATGGCCACCACAAGATGGCCAGCAGGAGAAGGTAGTTGTGGGTGACCAGGCCAGCAGGGGAGGGCAGTTAGGGGTGACCAGGTTGGCAGGGGAGGGCAGTAGGGAGAGACCAGGCCTGCAGGGGAGGGCAGTTGGGGGCAATCGGACCAGCAGGGGAGCAGTTAGGAATCGACCAGGCTGGCAGGGGAGTGGTTAGGAGGTGATCAGGCTGGCAGGCAGGCAAGTGGTTGGGAGCCAGCAGCCCTGGATTATGAGAGTGATGTCTGACTGCCAGCAGTTGGACATCTCCCAAGGGGTCCCAGATTGGAGAGGGTGCAGGCTGTGCTGAGGGGACCCCTCCCTCCCAGTGCACGAATTTTGTGCTCCAGGCCTCTAGTCTAATAATAGGATAATATGCAAATTAGTTGTCATGTAACCACTGGACAGCAGGGACCTGAGCCTGCATGGCACCTGCCCTGGGTGGGAGATCTCAGGCCGGGCCACCTGTCCAGCGGGGCTTGATGGGGAACTTCAGGCCACTCCCCACACCTGGCGGGGCTTGACAGGAGACCTCAGGCTGCATTCCCCACCCTGCACTGGGCCAGGAGATCTCAGGCTGTGCCTTTTGTCTGGTGGGGCTTGATGGGGGACCTCAGGCCACGCCCTCTGCCCTGGCACTGGGCCAGGAGACCTCAGGCTGCATCCCCTGCCCTAGCGCTGTGCCGGGGGACTTCAGGCTGTGTCCCCACCTATTAGGGCTTGATGGGGGATCTCAGGCTGTGTCCCTTGCCCCGGCACTGGGCTGGGGGACCTGAGGCTGTGTCCCCCACCAGGAGGGGCTTGACAGGGATGGGGGTGGCTGGGTCTGGGTCTCCTGTGATTTCGAGGCGCACGTGAGTGCGAAGGGACTTGACTCTGGGTCCCGAGGCATGCCCCAGACTCTGACAGGAGGGAGATTTTCACATATATTTTACTAATTTTGTTTCGTCTCTGACACTTCTGTTATAGAGAGAGGGCAAACAGCAATATTAATATATATCCTCTAATTAATTCCATTTTAATACACATGAATTTTGTGCACCAGGCCACTAGTGGCATCATAATAGTGGTTGCAGATAAACAATCATTTCTAGGCTTTTCCCTCTGAGATCCTGAATCTGAGATCATGCCCACCCTGTGCATTTGCTAAGTCAACTGAAGCAAGGTTTGAAAGTCATGCTTCCTTGTTTTTTCTTGTGTTGAGTTGCGTTTTGGGAGGGATTTGTTACCAAGGTCTGCTGCATTGTTCCCAAAGGGATGGTTATTTTGTTTTGTTTTTTTACTCTTTGGTCATCATTAACTCATTTGATTTTTTTTTTGAAAGCTATAAAACTTCTCTTGGTAAAGAGCACATGCACCTACCTACAATTTTAGATGTGATTTCAGGGATTCATAGAACTTTTGAAGCCCATTCATGGGTCCATAACCAAGAATTCCTGCTTTAGGAGAACACACAAGATAGGAGGGGTCAATTATGATGCCAGGAACCATTGAGAATTCTAGAACTGATAAGGAAGCAGTTATGGTTTCATTACAGAGCAGTCTGTAGCTAAGGGACAGAGATAGAGTATTACACTACCGAGAAGCCAGGGTGGCTTCAGGAATTGAAGCAGGACATCCCAGGGCTACAGCAGATATTTTGGGAACTCACCCTGGGAAAGAAGGCCGCGATGCCAGTACTAGCAGGGAGTGAGAGCCCACCAGACCCAACAGCAGTGACTGCCTAAATTGTTCTCAGTTCCAGTACCCAAGTAGCTTGAGTCAGCATACAAGCAAAATAGAGCAGAAGAAAGGGACCCAGGATTTATAAGACTAAAAGCTACATCAGTTGAGCATCAGTTTGTGGTTAGCCTTTAGTTCTTTTAGGGTATGTGTTTATTTTTTCTTAATTTAAATTTTATTTAATTCAAAATACAAACCTGTCAGGGTTCTAATAGGTATTACATTTATTTTTATTTTTTTAAAAATTGATTTCAGAGAGGAAGGGAGAGAGTGAGAAATAGAAATATCAATGATGAGAAAGAATCATTTATCAGTTGCTTCCTGCCTGCCCCCTACTGAGGATCGAGCCCACAACCTGGGCATGTGCCCTTGACTGGAATCGAACCTGGGACCCTTCAGTCTGCAGGCTCTATCCACTGAGCAAACTGGTTAGGGTGAGAATTTACATTTTTATGCTTATCCAAAAAATAGTGTCTTTTTATATTTTCAGATTGAATTTTATGTCCTTTAATATTTATATATATGTATAATTATTGATTTCAGAGAGGAAGGGAGAGGAAAAGAGAGAGAAACATCAATGATGAGAGAGAATCACTGATCTGCTGTCTCCTGCATGTTTCACTCTGGGAATTGAGCCCACAACCTGGGCATGTGCCCCAACTGGGAATTGTACTATGGTCTCCTAGTTCATAGGTTGATGCTCCACCCCTGAGCCATGCTGGCCGGGTTAAAAATTTAATTGACTTGTCTTTGTGCATGTCACAACAGGTTCCTTAGCAAGGTTAGCTCTGTTTTGCCCAATCACTGGGATTGGGGGCCAAGCATGAGACATCATATTTGTGACCTCTGCATTTAACATGCTTCTCTCAATAGAAGAGTGCATTCTTTTTTTTTAAAATTATTATCTGTGTACATATACCATTGGCCCCCCCATACACGCCCTCCCTCCCCATAGTTTTGTGTCCATTGGTTGTACTTATTTGCATGTATACAAGTCCTAGAAGAGTGCATTCTTGAGTTCATACTCATGCACATGTTTATTTTTATGCTAACAAGTTTTTGTTAACTTGCATTCAGTGTTCAGCCCTGTACAGCAGGTCCTCGAATAACATTGTTTTATTCAACTTAGTTTCATTATAACATGAATGAGATATCATAGGAACTTAACTCTTGTTTATAGTAATTAGTCTATGGTAAACTTGGTTTCATTATATGTCATTTCACTTAAAGTCACAGAACCTATTGAAGATGCTACATGAGGATTTACTATATTGGGTATGTTATGGGTGAGGAGAACCGAGAGAAGAAAGCGGGTGATTCCCTTGCATCACAGTACTTCACAGGGAGGATGAACCATGAACTGTCTTCCAGGTGCCTTCATGTAAAGCACATACAAAGGATTATTAAGGTGGCAGGTGCCATGCTGGTACTTATATCCTCTAATGAACAGCCATCCCCATCCTTGTATGACTTATAAAACACTACTCTGTTTGATTTCACAGCATCCGCCCCACTCTTCAAAAAAGGGAAAAATGTTCCATATGGCAGATATTTTAAAAACCAAAATGAAGTGAAAAATATTCTGTTTTTAGAATTACCCTGCATAGGGAGGGTGCAACAAGACAGGCACTCTCATATGCCGCAGATGGGCGGCGTGCAAATCTATCAATTTGGGAAGCAGTTTGGCAATAGTTATATTGGCTTTAAGAGTTCATGCCCTTTGACCCAGTAATTCCACTTCTGTCAGGGTTTCGCTAAAGGAAGTAGACAGATTTACACAAATTACTGTAGAAGGATTTTTAGTATATCATTTTTCTGTTTCATCTTAATATGGCACTAGCTATTTTAATGCTGACAACTTTATATATTACTGCTCAGACTTCAACAAGCTTTTCTTTATGTTTTAGAAATTAATTTTAACACGTGACTGTATTCTTGAGGAAGGGAGGAGGGGGTTGGGAGAGGGGTATGGTATTCAAAGGAATTTAGCTTTATTTGTAATATAACTTTGATGTAGTTTTTTAAAAAAAATTTATCTTTATTGTTGAAAGTATTACAGATGTCCCTCTTTTTACCCCATTGACCCCTTCTTTCCCCCTCTCCCCTCTGCCCCCACTCCCATTTCCTCCCCAGGCCTTTATCGCATTATTGTTTGTGTCCATGGATGATGCATATATGCATATAAGTTCTTTGGTTAATCTCTTCCCACCCCCCTCTTCACTTCCCTCTGAAATACACATCTGTTTATATATGCAGCAGAATTTAAATGAGTAAATAAATAATAGTACACGCATATGATGGAATATTGTATTGCCAATAATAATGTTTTCAGAAAAAATAATAGAAAAATGTTTATTGTATAATCTTAAGTGAAAAAACACAATGTATAACATTGCATGTATAACATGATCTCAAATTTTTAAAAATCATAAATGTTTATCTGTTAAGGGAAGATAAAGGGAAATACACTAAAATGCATGAATATCCCTGAGCTAAAAAAAATACCTTTATTTTTCTTTACGTTTTCTGTTTTTCCAAAATTTTTACAATAAACATGTATTACTCTTATTTTAAAATAATTGTTTTTCTAAGTATTAGCCTCTTTTATGCATATATTTTATTTTTGCAAGATATTGTGAATCTTTTCCTGTCATCATTCACTTGTCTACCATTTTAAAAGGCTGCATAATATTCCATCCTATGCATGTATCATAATTTACTTAACCAACTTCCTATTGTGACATTAAAGTTATTTTCAGATTTTCACTATAAAAGGGACTCTATGAAAAATATCCTTATGTCAACATCTTTTATACAACTCTTTGAAATGTTGATAAGATCCTAAATGTAGAATTTCTGGGTCAAAAAGTAAACACATAAAATTTTTGTAGCCACTGCTACATTATTTACTGATAATGTATAAAAATACCTTTTCCCCATCCTTGCCAACCCTAAATATTTTTTATTTTTTAAAATATATTTTCTTGGCTTTTCACAGAGAGGAAGAGAGAGGGATAGAGAGCTAGAAACATTAATGAGAGAGACTTATTGATCAGCTGCCTCTTGCACACCCCTCTCTGGGGATGTGCCCGCAACCAAGGTACATGCCCTTGACCAGAATCGAACCTGGGACCTTTCAGTCCGCAGGACGACACTCTATCCACTGAGCCAAACCTGTTTTGGCCTATTTTTTTTTTTTTTAAATCCTCACCCGAGGATATTTTTCCATTAATTTTTAGAGAGAGTAGAAGGGAGGGAGAGAGGAGAGAGAGACAGAGACAGAGAGAGAGAGAGAGAGAGAGAGAGAGGAACATTGATGTGAGAGAAACACATCAATTGCTTGCCTCCTGCATGTGACCTGACAGGTCTGAGAATCAAACCTGTAATCCAGGTACATGCCCTTGACTAGGAATCAAACCCATGACACTTCAGTGTGAGGGCGGACACTCTAACCACTTAGAAGCATTGGCTAGGGAATCATTAGGTATTTTTAAAAAATATATATTTTTATTTATTTCAGAGAGGAAGGGTTAGGGTTAGGGTTAGAAACATCAATGATGAGAACCATTGATTGGCTGCCTCCTGCCACCCCACACTGAGGATCGAGGCCACAACCCAAGCGTGTGCCCTTGACTGGAATCGAACCTGGGCCCCAGTCTGCAGGCCAATGTTCTATCCATTGAGCCAAACCAGCTAGGGCTCACTAGGTATTTTTATTCTTTTATATATTTGTTAATACTGTAGGTGGAAGTGGTGTCTTTGTGTTAATTTTTATTTCGTTGATTATGAACGAAGTAGGATGTTTTCAATTTCTGTTTTTAGCCATATCACTTCTTTTATGAATATTTTTCTTTGTAATCAGCCAAAAACTTGAAGACACACTTTTTCACATGCATACAAAAGGATTGCGTGGCACTCAGTGGAATTTGATGTTGAGAGTCTACTCTGGAAATGTTAGTATGAAGAAGACAGTGGGCCTAAGGAACCTTCGAATACTCCCATTGCTTTTGGACAACTGGTGAGAACTTTGGGTTCAAACAATGGCTGGCAGTGATGTTAACAGTCTTTGTTGATCTACAGAAGCTACCAATGGTGCGGTACCCCAGGGCCAACGACCACCCCCTCGTATCAAGAATTTCCAGATTAACAACCAGATTGTAAAGTTGAAATACTGTTATACATGCAAGATCTTCCGACCTCCCCGGGCCTCCCATTGCAGCATCTGTGACAACTGTGTAGGTGAGTAAAATCCTTAGGGCATTGTCTGGGGGAAAGGCTGAGTTGAAGAAGAGTGTAAAGGTAATTTTTTGAAGAAAAAATTAGTAGCCAAAGCTGGTTTCGCTCAGTGGATAGAGCGTCGGCCTGCGGACTGAAGGGTCCCGGGTTCGATTCCGATCAAGGGCATGTACATTGCTTGCGGGCACATCCCCTGTAGGGGGTGTGCAGGAGGCAGCTGGTTGATATTTCTCTCTCATCAATGTTTCTAGCTCTCTATCCCTCTCTCTTCCTTTATGTAAAAAATCAATAAAATATATTTTAAAAAAAGAAAAAAAAAGAAAAAATTAGTAGTGGTAGTTAGGAAAGCTAGAATTAGACAGGAAACAAGCATCTGAGCAACTGTAAATCAACTGTACTTCTTAGATCAAATTGGAATTTAAATATCTGCCAGTCTAAAAAACAAAACAAAAAAACAACCCAAACCAACCTTTTTGGTAAGTGGGAAAATAAATGACTTATTGGGTTTTTGTTTTACTAACCTCACCTAAGGATATTTTTCCCATTGATTTTTAGACAGAGTGGAAGGGAGGGAGAGAGATGGGGAGAGAGAAACATTGATGTGAGAAAGACACATCAATTGGTTGGCTCCTGCACATGCCTAGCCATGCTGAGGATTGAACCTGCAACTGAGGTATGTGCCCTTGACCGGAATCGAATCCAGGACCCTTCAGTCTGTGGACCAACACTCTGGCCACTGAGCGAAAATGGCTAATGCAAATTACCTGTTTTTCAAATCTATATTTTCTTTTTTTTTAAAAAATATATTTGATTGATTTTTTTACAGAGAGGAAGGGAGAGAGATAGAGAGCTAGAAACGTCGATGAGAGAGAAATATCGACCAGCTGCCTCTTGCACACCCCCTACCGGGGATGTGCCTGCAACCAATGTACATACCCTTGACCGGAATTGAACCTGGGACCTTTCAGTCTGCAGACCGACGGTCTACCAGTGAGCAAACCCGGTTTTGGCATCAAATCTATATCTGTTTCAAGTGGAACCCACCTTGCATAGGGGGAGGAAAATCCTAGTCTACTGGAGGGCAGCATCGGGGAAGGAAGGACTTTGTAAGAAGTAGTATTCCCAAGAAGAAAGTTGTTAGCATTTATTGAGTTCCTACTATATACTAGGCACTATATAAAGTGTTTTCCCTTTCTCTCGTTTAAGGCTTGTTAGAATCCCAGGAGACAGGTATTATCCCCATTTTATAGATGAGGAAATAGGTAAAGCACCTTTATGTGGGTTCATATAATTAGTAAGAGATGAAGCTGAAACAGGTATGATTCTCAAACTCATTTCTTCTTTCTCTGCTGCTGTTATAAGGGTTTTGGATGTATGCGTGTGCATAATGTATCTGTGCTTTTAGCCACATGTATGTGGCTTAGTTGCAATCACTGCCTCCTGTGCACTGAGCTCTGGGAAAGATCAGAAACAGTCCTTAAATATGTATATCAATAGGCAAATATGATCAATTCCTTATATTATTACTAGGCTTACTTAGAGTGTTCTTTATATATGTCATAGAACAGGCCTGAGTACATAGCTTTCTTCTTATTATCCAGTTCTTTAGACAAAGCTTGAAAAGATATCTTACTTTATGTGGTAAAAAGCTACATGTAGGTAGGATTTTAGAAATTTAAATCCATTTTATTTAATTATTTTTATTTTTTTAATATATTTTTTATTAATTTCAGAGAGGAAGGGAGAGGGAGAGATAGAAACATCAATTATGAGAATCATCAGTGGGCACACCCCACACTGGAGACTGAGCTGCAATCTAGTCCTGTACCCTGACTGGGAATCGAATCATGACTTACTGGTTCATAGGTTGAGGCTCAACCACTGAGCCACTCTGGCGAGGTAAATTGAAACCCATTTTAAATAAGCCAGGAAACTTAATGTTTCAAGAATGTCTGATGTGAAGGTTTTCATAAAGAATTTCCTCTCCTTATTAATATTCTTAAATATAAAGAAATCATACAAATTGATTTTTTAAAATCTACACCTGAGGATATTTTTTCCATTGATATTTTTAGAGAGATTGGAAGGGAGAGAGAAACATCAACGTGAGAATGATACATCGATTGATTGCCTCTTGCACTGGGAGACTGGGACTGGGTATTAAACCTGCAACTGAGGTACATGCCCTTGATCAGGGATCAAACCCGAGACCATTTGGAATGTGTGCTGAACAAACAGTCCAGGGCACAAATTGATTTCTAAAAAAGAACCACTACATTTTAAGAGTCTCATACTCTGCCGACTGAGCTAGCCAGGTAAGAACCACTACATTTTAGTAGAAATATGGACAGTTTACAAAAAAAAATGCAATTAACTAGTTAACATGAAAAAAATTTATCCCTATTAAATATCAAAGAAATAGAAATTAAAGCAGGACCTTTTCAAATCTAGATAATAAGCAAGGGAAACCTAGTAATGCTTAGTGCTGCATTGGTAGGAGTGTAATTTGGGACAAACTTTTTGGAAAGCAACCTAATCTATACTAATAGAGAGCTAATAAGCTAATGGTCGGGACACCATAATGGGTAATGACCAGGTCGTTAGCATATTAGCTGGGGCGTTGCTCTAGAGACAGGGCAGAAGCTGGGAGGTGCCTGGAGAAGGCAGGACTATCTCATGCCGGGGAGGGCAGGGGTGAGAGCCCATAGCGCCCCCTCACCAGTCCTTCGCCACCCACTGCTTGCACTCTGAGTGGCCTGTGGCCCACCTGCCAGGGGAAGGAGCACAGCCCAGCAGGCAGGAGGCTTCCACGTTCTCTTCTGGTGTCATGATGGGGCACAGCTGCCGAGTTGCTCGGGAGATGGGGCCCGGGGAGGTGGGGAGGCGCCCAGAGAAGGTGGGACCAGCCCGAGGTGACTTGAGGGACTGAGGGCAGGGCTTGAAGCGGCCAGAGGGTTTGCGGGCTGGGCCAGGCGCGCTGGAACTCTACTGGACAGGTTCGGGTGTCAAGGCAGGGATGCAGGTGGGTGGACGGCGAGACTTCGCACTCTGGGCTTCTAGTAAGATTGATAAAACTTTAAAACATGGATGTCAATGATTACCTTTCTAGAAATTCCTAAGAAAATAATAAAAAATGTGATAAAAGATTTAGGTATGGAAATATGTACCTCAGGAATATTATAATAATGAAAATTTGAATAAGTCTTATTGTCAACCAGTAAATAAATGGTGGAACATTCATACAGGGGACTTTTATGGGAAAACCTTATGCCAGAAAGTGAAATGAAATAAAATAGAAGACAGGCTACATGTATAGTGTGATCTCAGACATTTAAAAAATATGAATATGCGTAAAGAGATATGAAAGGAAATACTTCAGAATGCTCTTAGTTTGTTATCTATAGGTTGTGGGTTTATCAGTGAGTTTGTTTCCTTGTATTATAAGAAAAAAGTGTGATTTAAAGTACAGTAAAAATATATCTGTATAAACCTACATTTCCAGTGTTTTTATATGACAGGTTTGTTTAGAGTAAGTTTGAACATGTAATTCTTTTCTACATTTTCCTTCTCTTTTCTGAAGAGATATATTGTAGCCCTTTAACTGGGGAGATGTATCATTCTTACAGTCTTACTATTTTTGACAGTATGCAGTTCATTGTCCTTTAAAAATGATGTGTTATTCTTTGTGCCTTTTTGGTTCATTGAATAATACATGTTCATTGTAGAAAATACAGGGAGCACAGAAAGTGTAAATAAAATCTAATCCCAAACTCACTCTCCATTTCTCTATATTCCCTTTCAGCCTCACTCTTGTTTGTGAAATTAGATCACACAGGATTGAGTTCTTATTTCTACCTTTGTCGTTTAACATATCTTAAGCATGTTTTTACACCTTTAGTACATGTCTTTTGAATATTTTAGTTTAATGACTGTATATAATCTATCACATGGCTATATTCTAGTTTTTAAGGCAGTTTCCTATCATTAGATATTATTCATGATTCCATTTTATTCATTATTATAACACTGTAATCAAAATTATTTAATATACAGATATGGTAAAATTAGAACCTTCATACATTTCTGGTGGGAATGTAAAATGGTTCAGTCACTGTGGAAAAGTTTGGCAGTTCCTCAAAAAGTTAATCATAGAATTAACATATGGTCCGGCAATTCCACTCATGGGTATATACTTGTATTGGGATGCCATAACAAAATACACAGACTGGGTGACTTAAATAACAGAAATCAATTCTGACATTTAGAAGTCCAAGATCAAGGTATTGGCAGGGTTGATTTATGGTGAGGCCTCCCTCTCTGTCTTACAGGCAGTCACCTTCCTTTTTAAAAGTAATTTTTTAAAAATTATGTTTTTATTGATTTTAGAGAGAGAGAAAGGGAAAGGGGGAGAGAGGGAAGAAACATCAATATGAGAGAGAATCATTAATTGGCTGCCTCCTGCAAGCCCCACATTGGGGATTGAGCCCACAACCCAGGCATGTGCCCTGACTGGCAGTCTAACTGGTGAATTCTTGGTGCATGAGACTTTGCTGAACATTTAACTCTTTAATGCATCTGGAATTCATTTTGATAAATTGTGTTAAGGGGAAATTTTTAACCTTATTTTTCACCAAATAGCCAATTGTTCTCAGTGTTGTTTATGGAAAAGTACGTCTTTTCACCATTGATTTTGTAATGCTGCTTTTATTAAGACAGTAAATTCTTATATTTTCTAGAGTCTGTTTCTGGCTATGCCGCACCATTTTTTAAAAAAAAAAAATATATATATATATATATATATATTATTGATTTTTTACAGAGAGGAAGAGAGAGGGATAGAGAGTTAGAAACATCGATGAGAGAGAATCACCGATCAGCTGCCGCTTGCACACCCTCTACTGGGGATGTGTCCGAAACCAAGGTACATGCCCTTGACCGGAATCGAACTCTGGACCTTTCAGTTTGCAGGCCGATGCTCTATCCACTAAGCCAAACCAGTCTAGGCGCCACACCATTTTAAATATTGTAATTTTATAGTCTTTTACAAACTGGAGGTTAGGAAAAACCACACTACTAATTTTTCAAAAATTGCTTGGCTATTTTCACTTATTTCTTCTTCCTGGACTTAGTAGGCCCACCTACCAAGATTTTTCTTTGGAAAAGCAGAGACTCAGTGAGACAGATCACTTAACCCCCCAGTTCCTTAGTTTCCTCTGCAGTAAAATGGGGAAAAGAATATCTTCTTTTGCTCAACTTCTAGGGTGATTGTGGGGGTCAAATGAGATGGCTATGAAAACATTGTGAAAAAGACAAAAATAACAACCAGTTTTTTACAATTGAAATAGGCAGTGATCTGGGGTCTTTGAATTAGTTATTCAGATGTGAATGGTGGGGTTGCACTGTCTTTTAGAGGCTTTGACACTAGATTCTCTTTTTCCCACAGAGCGCTTCGACCATCACTGCCCCTGGGTGGGGAATTGTGTTGGAAAGAGGAACTACCGCTACTTCTACCTCTTCATCCTTTCTCTCTCCCTCCTCACCATCTATGTCTTCGCCTTCAATATCGTCTATGTGGCCCTCAGTGAGTATGCAGGACAGTGCCTGTTGTTGGAGTAGGGGTGAGATGGGAGAAGACTTAAGGACAGCTTAGGGGAGTGGTTGGGTTTCCTGGTGGGACTTTACCGTTGTGAAGGCACCTCAGGACCAGCTAGAAATAAGCACTACCTTCTGCTCTTGAGTAGGGCTCCAGACCTCAGCTCATCAATCAGTATTTACTGAGTGAGTTGGCCTTCTCACTGACCCTCTGCTGGAGACCATGGCCATAATAACTGGTTTATACCCAGAGTACTAGGCATTTCTGAGGTGATCCCAAAGGTTGGGGATCTATTTTGCTGTCTGCATCCTCTCTTCTTTTGCTTTATGTGCCAAGTGGTAGAAGGGGTTATATCTGAGAAATGCCTTTTAGTAGCTCCTGGTTTACTTTGGGAGATAGAAAATACACACCTATGTGTGTGCATGTACACAAACACATACACACACATAAATAAGCAGATGACAAATAAGGGCAGAGGGGATGTGGAATTAAAGGAGTGGTCTTAATCAAAACAACTTCCTGGGAAGGGATGAGTTCTCAGCTGGATTTTGAACAGAGGAGGGAGGACAGGGATTGGTGAGGAGAGAGGATTTTTAGGGGTGTTTCTAATTTATTTTATCTATGAATGAATATCCCCCTGCATGCCCATAGTGAGGACTAGGGAAAAGGGAGGGGAGCCAGATGTTTGGCTTCTGCCCAACTCTCTAGACCATTGCTGGTTCCTGCATTTGGTTGGGAGACTACCTCGTTGGGGGTGTGAGTCCCTTGTCTGAGCAAGGGCTTATTTCTTGCCAGCTTGTAACAAGGGGCAGGGAGGAAGAAGTGAGTAAGTACAAGGATAAGTGTGCATTTTAAAAATTAAAGTCACTAATTTTTTTTTCTCTACTACTCCTCCCAATTTCATAGAATCCTTGAAAATTGGCTTCCTGGAGACGTTGAAAGAAACTCCTGGAACATATCCTCCCCTGGCAGTATGTCCCTGTGAATCCTTCTTAAATTACTTTCCAACATGCTTTCTCTCTGCAGTTATCCCATCATCTCAGTTTTCAGACATCGGAGAGTGCCAAATTCTGGGGGAAAATAGTCTTAGTGATAGCAATCAGAAGGGAAGATGACCAAGACTTAAAGGGTGGCCTTTGCTTTACCCCCTTCTTTACTGCCTTCCTTCCAGTTCCTTCTGATCACACACTCTGCCCTGCCTCTGTAGTGGACTATCTATGCCTCAATATATTTCTTATGTCACTTGCTGGAAGCCCACCTTTCTGTTACCGCTAATGCTTACTTTGTACAGCAGTTGCACTTCTGAAAAGGATATTCAGATGGGATTTCTATAAAATCACATCCTGTTTTTCCCACCAATTTTTTCATTTATAAAGTTTATTTTTTGATGGATTTTCCATAAGCAGTGATGGCCAGCATTGTTTAGCTTTGGCCCCCTCCTAAACATCCCCTTCAAAAAGCTAATGATCTAAAAACAGAGGAACACTTAAATATGCTAGAGATGTTAGAGAGTTACTCATAGTGAACAGACAGGAGTCCTTTACCTGCCATAAGGGATGTATCCAGTGAATTTAGGGTTCATCTGTTATGTATGGATACTTGGCCATTTGTGATATATTCCGAGAGGTAAAGACTGGTGCCATGAGAAGGATGAAGCATTTTGTCTGCTGGTGTGGCTTCAACATTCCTTAACATACCTCACTGTTCTAGAAGTACTCATTTGTTTCTTCACACTCTGGTCCGTCGTGGGACTAACTGGATTTCACACTTTCCTTGTGGCTCTCAACCAGACAACCAATGAAGACGTGAGTCAACCTTCCCAACTTCTCATCACATATTCTTTTTTAAAAAATGTATATTTATTTATTGATTTCAGAGAAGAAAGGCGAGGGAGAGAGAGAAACATAGAAACATCAATGATGAGAGAGAATCAATGATTGGCTGCCTCCTGTACGAACCCCCAGCCCCCCACTGGGTATCGAGCCTGCAATCCCGGCATGTGCCCTTGACGGAATTGAACCTGAGGCCCTTTAGTCTGGAGGTCTATTCACTGAGCCAAACTAGCTAGGGCTCATTACATATTCTTTCTCCAAAGCCTATTCTCTTGTTACCTGCTAGAGAACTGAATCTCCAGGGCCTGGAGGTTGAGGCAGGCAGAAACCTAGCGTGGGAGATTGTTAAATCTGAAGTGTGGAGAAGAAAGCAGACTGCTTTGTTTAGAGCTGAATGCCTGTAGAGAATTAAGAAGAGGTTGAATGGTAGGGGAGGTACAAGGTCTTCAGCTATTCATAGATCTTTAAAGGCTAATTGGTGCTTCCGGATTAGGGATGGACAAGGACAGGTGCACAGAATAAATCCTTGCTTTTTAAAAGTTACCAATTAACCCACGTTCGTTTCAGAAAATCAAAAAAGACAGAGGAACAAACATATCAAATAAGTCCCTGTAACTTTACCTTCTATACATCACCATTGTTAATGGTATGATTTATAGTCTAGACTTGTCCCCCTTTATGGGACTATATATTTTGAATTTTTAAATTAAAATAGATACATATTGTTTAGTTACCTGCTTTTTTTCACTCTGTTGTGGACATTGTCCCATGGCTATGCATTGTATTTCCTTATTTTCCTATTGTGGTGAGATGTTCATTATATAAAATGAACCATCTTAACTATTTTAAGTGTATAATTTAGTGGCATTAAGTATATTCATGTTGTTGTGCAACTATTACCATCACCCATCTCCAGAACGTTTTTTATCTTCCCATGCTGCACGTTTTTCTTCAACATAAATTTTAAATGTAAGTCTTGGCTTTTATCTTGCAGATCAAAGGCTCATGGACAGGGAAGAATCGAGTCCAGAATCCCTACAGCCACGGCAACATTGTGAAGAACTGCTGTGAAGTGCTGTGTGGCCCCCTGCCCCCCAGGTACTCAGGGGACTAGAAGGTCCTGGGACTCTTGGGTTAAGCAACTCAAGCCAATCCTAACACTTGGTATGATGCCTTCTTCTGAATGTGACCTCTTGGTGTCAAATAGGACTTCTCAGGGATTGTCCCTTGGTGCCATATCTACATAGACCATAGACCGCAGGATGATTGTTTTATTTTAATTTTATTTATTTATTTTTTAAATATAGTTTGTTGATTTTTTTACAGAGAGGAAGGGAGAGAGATAGAGAGTTAGAAACATCAATGAGAGAGAATCATCGATCAGCTGCCTCTTGCACACCCCCTACTGGGGATGTGCCCGCAACCAATGTACATGCCCTTGACCGGTATCGAACCTGGGACCTTTCAGTCCACAGACCGACGCTCTACCACTGAGCCAAACCAGTTTCGGCAGGATGACTGTTTTAAAGAGATGACCTTTCATTCTTATTTCATTTGTTTCTTTCTTTTTTAAAAAATATATTTTATTGATTTTTTTTTTTTTACCGAGAGGAAGAGAGAGGGATAGAGTTAGAAACGTCGATGAGAGAGAATCATCGATCAGCTGCCTCTTGCACACCCCCTACTGGGGATGTGCCCACAACCAAGATACATGCCTTTGACCGGAATCAAACCTGGGACCTTTCAGTCTGCAGGCCGACGCTCTTTTCACTGAGCCAAACTGGTTTCGGCTCATTTGTTTCTTACCCTGGTTAATGTGGTATGCCCTGGTTTATGGAAGAAAAAGTGAGTGGAAGATAGGAAGCATGTGCTAGGATCAGACTAGACTGCCAAAGGGCAGGTTAATGTTTTCCAGTCCACACTGCAAGGTTCAGAGGGTGGGTGGCTAGAGGGGGAAATGGGAAGTGCTTTATTAACTGTCCTGTCTCCTTCAGCGTGCTGGATCGAAGAGGTATTTTACCACTGGAGGAAAGTGGAAGTCGACCTCCTAGCACTCAAGAGACCAGTAGTAGCCTCTTGCCACAGAGCCCAGTAAGTGTTCCCGACTTTAAGATTTTAAGGCTACGCTGGCGATGGAGAGTGGAGGCTAAATTTACACCTTAGAGATACAGTTAGGCAATTTCATGTTCAATAGCCCCAGCTTCCCTGTCTGCTTTTGCTCTGATTTTGCCTCAGATCTTTGTGCCTGTGGGTATAGATTAGGATCTACTCATTTCTTCGACATTCTACTGTGCTAGATGCAGGATACACTAGTGAACAAGGCAAAAAACCATGTCCCTGATCTCAAGGAGTTCACTATCTAGTGAGGTGAATGTTTTTTGTAAGGTAGATAATTGTTCTCTACTTTGCTTTTCCTATATTTTGAAGTTTGTTTTTTGAATTACAGCAAACCCATTTTTATATTTTATTATCATCATTTTGAATATAATGTTTATGATAAGTCTGGTCTTAAATCATAACAATTTAGATTAGTAATTCTCAGTTGAATGTGGGGAAAGGTGATATTTTAGAATCGCTCTGGGGGCATTTTCAAACATATATCATCTGAAAATTTTGCTATCCCATTCTCTTTGGTTTAGAATCACTGTTCTAGAGGGTCAAGTGTTAGGGCAGAAACAAGATCGAGACCTGCTGGGTCAGGCCTTGTTAGGCAAGTACATTATAACATTCTCTTGTGAAGGAGAGGGGCCTGTGTAATAATCTGTGGTCTCTATTAGTATTATTATGAATAATAATGGAAGCATCTCTCCATAATAGTTAAGAATAGAATTCAAAGAAAATCAGTTGCACTCTGCTGGAAGACAAGAATAGTCTGGTCTTGGTTCTGAGTTTGGTGTCAGTGGTTGCATATCTGTTAACATCAGTGTGGTTGATGGGTTCAGAGGAAGAGCTCAGTGCCTACTGATTATCTCCATGTCGATTTTGAGGATGGGTTTAAAAAAATTTCTTTTATTGATTTCAGAGAAGATGAGAGGAGAGAGAGATAGAAACATCAAAGATGACAGAGAACCACTGACTATCTGCCTTTTGTCTGCCCCCCACCGGGGATTGAGTTCGCAGTCCAGGCATGTGTCCTGACTGGAATCGAACTGTGACCTCCTGGTTCATAGATCGATGCTCAAACGCTGAGCTACAATGGCCGAGCAAGGATGGGCTTTTTATTGAATTTGATATATTTTCCTTCTTAGGCCCTAACAGAACATCTGAGCTCAAATGAAATGCCGGAGGACAGCACTCCTGAAGAGATGCCACCCCCAGAACCTCCAGAGCCACCACAGGAGGTGGCTGAAGCTGACAAGTAGCCCATCTAATGGAAGAGACTTTTGTTTGTGTTTAATTAGGGCTGTGAGAGATTTAAGGGGAGAAGATAAACCTGAGACAGAGAGCAAGTAAGCTGTTTTTCTTTGATCTTTATTCAGCCAATTGCACACTGGCATTTTCTTGCTGCAAGTTTTTTCTTTTTCCTGGACTCAAGGCAGTCACAGAAGATGTCAGTGACCTCTGGTAACAGGACTAATGGGTCTCTTGGGCCCCTGCATTGGTTTTCCATGGAGTCTCCTTGGGCTCCCCTTTTTTCCCTCCAGATCTTAGCTCTCCTGCTTGGCGCGGTTGGTCCATTTGTGGGGTTAAAGGTTCTTGAGACTGGCACAGATCCTCTCCAGCTGCTGCATGGCACGAGTCCAGAGGTGGTCTCAGAGAGCTCTGGCTAGGGAATCCTAACTGGATTCTTGGGGCTTCATAATTGAAGAGGATGGAGAGTGGGGTTGGAGGATTCTCCTGGCCACAAAGTGCCAACATTGCCCATAAATCCTTTCAGGAATGGGGCAGGTAGCTTCCACTTGGTGTATTTATTCATGTAGTTTCTCCTTTGACCCCCATCCACTTTTTAACCCCCAAGCCCCACTCTTTTCCAATTAGAGATATGTAAGTAGTTGCAGTATAGATAACAATTTACATGTCTTATAGATTACCCGGAAACTTTGTAATGCCTGTGCCATTCTCAATAAGAATTCATGAGATGCCAACGGCATCGCCCCTTGCACTCTCTGTCTCTTATCTTCTCCTTTCTCACTAGTCCCATTTAATTTGTTTTCCTTCTGACTCTTGCTCCTATTAGGAGCAGGAATGGCAGTAATAAAAGTCTGCACTTTGGCGATTCCTCTCCTCCGAATAAGCCCGAGTGCTCACTTAAACACTACACCCCCCAGACTCCCTGTGTGAGGCCTGCAGAGGCCCTGAATGCACAAATGGGGAAACCAAGGCACAGAGAGGTTCTCCTCTCCTCTCCTCTCCTCTCCTCTCCTCTCCTCTCCTCTCCTCTCCTCTCCTCTCCTCTTCCCCTATGGCCCCTCAAAAAAAAAAAAAGAAAAATGTAAAAAAAGACAACTAGTACTTCCAGTAGGCCTCGGCTGAGTGAGGAGGGAAAGCCCAGCACTGCTGCCCTCCCGGGTGACCCACTCCAAGGCCTTGGCCCACCTCGGGCTTGATAACCACACCAGGGGCTTCCGCCAGCCTCACTTCCAGCACTTCCACTTCCACAGGCAGAGTCCCAGAGCCGCTTCACCTTGGGTGCGGGCTGTGACCCACCCCCGTCAGCTCTGCTCAGGACCTGCTCTATTTCAGGGAAGAAGATTTATGTATTATATGTGGCTATATTTCCTAAAGCACCCGTGTTTTTCTCTTTCTAAGCCAGGGTCCTGTCTGGATGACTTACGGGGAGGGGGATGTGTAAATCAGAACTTTTAATCTATTTGAAAGTGATTAAACGGTGTCTAATGTAGACTGTCTGCCTCCTCCTTCCCCTTCCATTTCAAGAATCACCATGGGGGCGTGAGTGTCTTTGTGTGGTAGGGTGGGATTGGGGTTGGGGTAGGAGGGTTTCTAGTTATTACCCATACTTCCATTTTCTGGGGGACCCTTGAGTGGGAGAGATAGCTCCCAAACTCTCCATTGATTTCTACTACATTCTGGGCCGAAGCTCACCTTATTCTGGACTCTAAAGAAAGGGCTTTCAAAGCATTATACAATGTTAGCGAGATGGGGAGGGTTGGGGCTATATGCACTTAAGATAACAAGTTCTTTATTGAGATGTTGGGTTTATGCAGATGAATGCTGTTAATTATAAATGAGTCTTGGTTATTAAAAGTGGCACATTAGCGCCTCTCCTGGGAAATACTTGTTAGTGATCTTTTACAAATGATGGTATATACTTAATTTTAAGTGATCTATAATCAAGACTCCTTACCAATTCTTATCTTACTCTTTCCAGTTAATCAGAATGGATGAAATTTGGCTGCTTCCAGATTTTTCTCTATCTTTTTTATTTTTCTTATATCAGTATTTGAGGAGAGAGAGAGAGAGAGAGAGAGAGAGAGAGAGAGAGAGAGAGAGACAGACAGACACTCGGATTCCTCTCTTTTTTGCCTCTACTTACCATTCTCTTTCTGGCTCTCTCAGTCCTTGTAATTACATTTCAGGTAGTTAGTTCAAAATAATGCCAACCCTGGAGAGTTTGGAAGCTATTAGATTTTTTCCAGTTAACCTGTCACTCAGATGAATCTCTTTTTAGTCATTTCTGAGCCCATCCTGTCTCAGCCCATCTTCTCTCCTAGATTAGGACGGATTTCTCTCCTCCCTTAACTTACCTCAACCACTCTTCTGCTGACCCTTACGTCAGTCAGAGGAGCTTTCTCTTTCTAAGATGAAGGGTCAACATGGAAATCTATCTCTTGTATGAAATAATATATTTTAGTTTTCTGCTTTTTCATGCTTCCCGCTCTCCTTCTTTACCTAAATAACTCTTCTGTATTTAAGACCTTGGCCTGAAGTTCTATTCCATTCATACCATGCACCATCTGGGTCTGTCCTTCATCTGAGTTTTGATCAGAGGGGAGATTGAAGAATTGGTCTTTTTAAATGGCTTGCATTCTCTCCATCTCTTCCCTTCCTTTGCATTCCTTCAGTTTCCTATGCACCCCACTTCCCCAGGTGAGGATGGTTGGTACAGGTCCAAACCCTTTCGGGGTTGGTGGGGTTTAGCTATTTGGGGCCATTTCTTCATGTCCATTTGGCTCTGGGGCCCTCCTTGCCCTAGCAGAAGGCATCTGCTCTCCCTTTGCTTTTTTCCCCAGGGGCAAGTGGTGGGTTCTAATTCTATAGCAGCTAAATTCCATTCTTCCTGTGCTAACCTACCTGCCTTTATCCCAAGGGCCCTTTTCCTACCGACCAAATTGCTTTACCTTTTTGGGGAAAGAAAAAGTATTTTGTTTTTAAATCTATTTTCTAACTTAAATGCAATTTAATATGTAAATCTCTGCATTTGTGTGTGAACCTAAAAATATGTATGTGTGGTGGTTTTTTCACTCTCTGGTATTTCTTAATAAAGAACCTTTTTTTTTTTTTTCCTTCTTTCGGGGAAAGCCAATTAATGAAGAAGACTTGAATGGTTTTAGAAATACAGGGATGTGTGCTTCTTTGTGCTTCTGTCTCATTTCTTTACTTGTGCCTAGCATGAGTGGCTGGCCCCCTCCCCCACCTTTTGACCCTCTTCCTTTGAGTGGGCTTTCAGCCTAGTGGGGCAAGAGAGGGGCCTGTCTAGTGTCTGGTACCCCTCCGGGACCACTTGGGTTGGCTAAGTGGTAACCTAGCAACTTAGCCTTCATCCCTCTCTCTATGGCCTGGCCCTATTAGTCCTTTTCTTCCAGCTCAGTTTATTTTATACTCCTGAAGCTGGGGCCAGGCTAGGGAGAATCACCATGGGATCACAGTAAATAGTTTTTAAAAAATAATTTGTTCTTGTGCTTTGGTGCTATTAAAGAAGAGCAATGTTTCTAATAATTCAAAAAACATTTGTGTCAGTTTTGAGAAGACGTTCTAGCCATCACTTGCTATTCTTAGGTGATAGGTTTTAGAAATAGTATCAAAGGCTAAAATTGACTATCATTACCTTTAAAAGATGCAAGTCCAACTTGCAAAAAAAGATAGTCATTGTACATTTTATGTTCCAAATAAATATGAAAGGAGAATAGGAACTAAACGTCTGTATCTGTAAACTTTCAAATGGGATATAGAACATCAATGGAAATGGGAAAACCTAGTGTGATTAACTGGGCCTAATTATTATACAAATGAACACAAAACATGTTTTTACAGTTTTAATATATGCAGTGAACTTCCAGGAATGCAACCATTGTGTAAATTCAGGGAAGATGGTACTTTATTTTGTTCAAAACTTTAATAACATTTGTGACTTTTGAAAATTTTGAAAATTGTGTCACCAATAGCAATGCCATTCATGGATTTTTAAGTTGCCAATATAATGTACCTGTATTCATCTTCTTTGTAGCAATTGAATACACAGTGAATCTACATATGTAAGTGGAAGCATCTGACTTAAAGTATAGTATTGCCCAGGCATTTACATATTGAAATACATATTATTTTACTATAAACTACTTTCCCTTTATTTTTCCTTTATATTATAATTAGTGTATTATACTGCTCTTCTGGAAATTATGTGTATATGCAGGTTATAATAACTATGAAATTTCTTTCAGGGTGGCAAAGGGTTTATTACAAAACATTGTATATAACCAGGGAGGTTTGAAGCTGACAGAGTTGAGAACCATTGGACTCTCAAATGTCCCTTTCTATTTCTAAATATTTGGAAAACTTAGAAAATAAACAAACCTCTTCCTCCCTTCATACCTGAAATGTGCTTTTTAATTTTAAAAGTAACTCATGTCCATTATTGAAAATTGGGAAAGTATAAGAAAGTAAGAAGATTTAAAAAAATCATCTATAACCTCATTAGTAAGGTATAATAATCACTGTCAGTGTTTTGGTGTATTTCTTTTTGGTCCTTTTCGTGCATATATGTTTTTAAACATAACTGGAATTCAATTATGAATATAGTTTTGTAATCCTGCTTTTTTAAATTAGCATTTTTCATATCATTAGAAATGATTTCTTCATGACTCCATAATATGTACATAACTCTTTCCCTATGTCAAGACATTTAGGAGTTTCCCATTTGTCATTATTATTAACAATGCCGTGATGAGCTTTTTTTAAAAAAAATCTGTGAACATATCTTTGATTATTTCCTTAGAATAGATTCCTAGGAGTGAAACTACTCAGTCAAAGGGAGTGTTCTTTGACAGACTTTTGGCAAATATGTCTAAATTGCTTCACACAAAGGCTGTCCCATTTTTTCTTGCCAAGTAGTGTCTCAGAGAGCTTGGTTCATGTCTCATTTAAACACATCTCATTTAAACATTCCACAATTTTATCATTGTAAACT